GCGGCGGCGGCCGCGGCGGCGGCGGCGGCGGCGGCGGCCGCGGCAGAGGGCAGCTCTTCCTCCCCGCAGGGGGAGCCCTTGCGGCCGTCCGGGGGCCCGGGTTTGGCCACTGCCGCGGCGCTGGCGAAGGCGTCCCCGGCGTCGGCGTCACTGAGCATGGCCGCGGGGGCCCCCGCGCTGGCTGCTGTGGGTTCCCCGCTCCCAGTCTCGCACGAGAGGCTGCCAGGGAACTTCTTGGGCGCTTTGTCTAAGTCCAGCCTCTGAGGCGAGGGGGCCGCGCCAGGGAGGTGGCCTGCGCTCCCGCTGCCTCCGCCTCTCGCGCTCTCTAGCGGGTAGAAGTGAGCGCCGGGCAGGTTCACCGTGCTCACCAAGAGCTGCTCCCCTAACTGCATGCTTTGCAAAGCGCAGACGGCAGCTGGCTGCTTCCTCTCCTCCCGCGGCCTTAATATAAAGGCAGGATGGGGGAGCCAGCGCCCTCTTCCGAGGGGAAGGTAACTTCCCCTTCCTCCGGTGCTGGGGCTACCCACCTGGCTGCACGCGGGCGGCTAAGGCGCGCACTCGCGCGCCCCGACCCCAGCGTGCTTGCCGCAAGGAAAACTCGCTGAGTTTGAAGGCAGGAGGTGGCAATTGACCGAAGAGCACTCTCCTTTTCCTTCTCTGTCCTCCTTGCCTCTCGGGATCCCCGTCCGCCTCCTCACTCACACCCAGGAAGAAGAGGACTAATATCTCTGCCCCATCCACCCACCAGCGCTGTCCTTTCTGCCCTTCTCGACTGCCCAACTGTCCGTCAAGTTGACCACTTGGAAACTTGCAGGCTGTCATTGGCTGCTTTATATACGTGAGGCCAGGGAGGGGCTTCGCTGCCCCACAGCCCAGGACCCTCCTATTGGCTGATGGAGGTGACACTAATTCAATTAGGCATTTACTAATTGGATCAAGTCGCCTGCGACTTTCTTTTCCTTTAGTCTTTTTTTTTTTTTTTTCTTCCCAGAGACTCTGTCCTACTGTGAGAAGCAGTCGTTGTGTCCATATTTTGCTAGAGTTTGGGGGAACAGGATTTGGGGGGTCTCCGTAGCGGGGTCCACTCTAAGCATCGAAGTCATCTCAGCAGCCTGAGCGGAGGATGCGGGGGCGGGAGCAGGTTTTAGAGGCTGGCACCAGAAAGGCAACGCAAGCTGATGGCTTGCAGGGAGGCGCCGGTCCCCGAGCGGGGGGATCTGGGACGAGTCGGAGAGAGGCCGAAGCGAGGTCTCTTTCCCGGTCAGGGGCTGTGGCTTCAGGCACACTTTTCTCCAGATAGGGGAGGGTTCCCCGGCCTTCAACACACGGGAACCACTTTTTGTTCGGTCCCACCCTTTTATTCATTGGGAAGGGTTTGTGAAGAGGAACCTTGCGCTCCGCTTTTGGGATTCCAGGGACGGCGAGAGAGAGCACATGGCCATCCTCTAGGACCAGCTTATGAACCAGAAGCCCTGGTGGGGTGGGGTCCTGGGGACACCCTCAAACGCGCGTCAAGCACTTTTACTCCCCACAATTTAAAATCCACGCAGCTCAGTTGCCCTGAATCCTGGATTCCCTCCACCATCTTCAGTTGGGCCTGGCACCGAGAAACAAAGGTTCCCCAGCAGCAGTGCGGTTGAGATTCCCTGCGCCTCTGCTCCGCGGCGCAACACAGAAGGTAGAATAATTAGTGAAATAATCAGTTTGATATTGAATTAAGCCCTTTTGCCCCAGCTGCCTGTTTCTCCCTTGCGTTTCCGCAGACAGTAGAGTCAAGAGTGGTGCCGTCTTATTTCATTGTTTTATTACCGAAAAGGGGGGAGGCACGTTTCATTGCGGAAAAGGAGAAGCATGAATATTCGCTGTTAATAAGCAATTACAGACGCGGCTTGTAATCGCTCCGGGAGCGCATTTTCCGGCTGAGATGTCGGGACACTGCTTCCCCAACCGAACGCGATCACACGGGAAACTCTGAGCCCACAACAGATGAGGCGGCTGCAGGATTTCTGCGGCGCGCACACGCCCGTGCAGAACGGCTCGGAGCTTTCCGGCCTAGGTTCAAACCACAGCAGCCCCAACTTCGGCACGTCTGGGTTAGAGAGCGAGATGGTCCGTGATACACTCGGACGCTCCAGGGAATTTATCAGTTTTCCTTGGTGGTGAAAACCGGGGGCGAGAGAAGGTTCTCAGGGTCAGGACACAGCCAGTGGGAATGGAGCACGTGAAGCGAGTGGGCCAGCGAGGTGGCCCCGCAGGTCCTGGGCAGAGCGGCCCGGAACAGATCCCTGGAAAGCTGGCCCAGGGCGCGCTCAGGCCAGCGCGCCTGGCATTTCGTCCCGCTAGTTTTGAATTCGGGTTTGGCGTGGCTCTCGGTTCTGACCACACCGCCGTCCACTCCCACCTCCCGGCTTTTGTTTTATTTTGAGCCAGGGAAGTCTTGAAGAATTGAATTTTTCGAGCACTTTATGCTTTTTGAAGACTTGATGATTTTCAAAGTGGAGACCCCGTGAGGGGGACGCGAGAACAGGAAAGGAAGGGGCTGCGCGGTTTGGGCGGCTTGGCGACCTAGCGGAGGGTTGGGGAACCTGCTTACGGCCCCGGGGAGTCTCCGCGTCAGCCTTGGCCTTCACCTGAGCTGCAGGATGTTTGAAGGAAAAGCAGGGGTGAGATCGAATCGCACGTTATTTGGAGATAGGGTGGCTAGGGGTAGATCGCAGTTTCGCGCTTTGTGGCAGAGAGAAAGCGGGCCTCTGTGTCCCTTCAAGTTGCTTTCGAGGCGGCCAGGGAAGCGCTGCGCGTGGCAAAGTGCCATCGCAGGCAACAGGCATCGTTCCGACCCACTCTGGCGCAAATAACGCGGGCCAGCTGTCCCCCGCGCCACATCAGAAAGGGTTGATTTTATTCCAGCCCCAAAGCAAGCTCTTGAAAGCGCGTGGGCTCATTCTGAGTGCTACCTACCTCTTAAATGTATCCACGGTATGTGTGGTCAAGATTGGTGTTGACTCCTGGGTCAGGAAGTTGCTGTTGATATCTCCCCACCTCCCCAGTACATCTATCATTTTACTCAAATTTTAACACACTTTAGAGATGGAGAGAGAAAGAGGAATGCAAAGAGAATCAAAATTCAGGCTCCACAAAACTGCTCTGGGACCTGGAATTTGGGGACCACGGAAAACAGATACATCATTTATATTATATTCGTAAACATATATTTCAAATTCCTTTTTAAACATAATGGAAAATGCTGTTTCAACTAAAGGTGATTTTTTTTTTCCTGACAACTCAGAGATCAAGAAATCTCATTGGATGGTTTTCCTGTATTGATTAACTAATGGCATTATTATTATTACACATGGAATATACTAGTCTAAATGCCTGGAGAGTTACAGATGAGCCAACCTGTGATTTCCCGACTTGGAAGGAATTTTCTTTTGCTGCTTCAGTTTTACTTACAATCAGGGAAGGAGACATAGAAAATATTTTCACATATCCCAGCCAAACTTTAAAGTCCAAGCACTCTTTTCTAGCAATAGGAAGAGAAAAGAAAGCTAAGGCAGTGGCTTCAGTGAATGAGTCAGGCAACACCCTCCTTAGATTGGGTGGGCGAATAACAGCCCCTTGCAGCCTGTTTGCTGTTTGATTTCAATTACACCCCAAGCTTCATGAAATCCAAATGAGACATTTATTGAAAGGTGCCTGGTTTTATGTGGCTCAACTGACAGTGTATTGGAATACACTGAACAAAAACATCAACACTGGGGAGGAAACGTGGAGACCCCTTGGAACCCCAGGCCCAAATGCCGGCTGGATTAACTCACATCTTGCCCTTTCAGCCTGAGATGGAGCACGCGCCTGACCTTTGAAGGCTCCAAGGAGGCCAAGGCCAAGCCTATGTGTGAGCCTACGGAAGATCTTCCGCTCTACTGGTTCGAGCACTCATACCAATGTCGTGCCACCCTCTCTCTCATCCCGGTAACACAAAGTTATTGCCAACCTGGCCAGGGGACATCTTTACCCACTTCTCCCCCCTTAAAGGTAACCACTACCAGTGCATTGATCTTTTAAAAGCAGCTCTGCGAAGCAGCATTTGGCCTCAAGACTGTTACACATCAAATGCATATGCGCACATAGGAATAAGTAACAGGGCTGAGTTATAGATGAGTGCAGTGATATACGGTTTTTCTCCTGCCCTGCCCCCCTCTACACACAACCGAGGGGGCCCATATAAATGTCCCAATAAATTCTATTATTTTCACCCCCACTAAAAATGTGTTATCAAAACACCGTCCGTGTTATTCAAACACTTTGTAAATTCTGGGCAGCATTGCTGCTGGATCTCCTTTTAACCCTAGGAAAACATTCCAACATTACCCGGTCACCGCGCTTCGCCTGGACTCTGGGAAAACGTCAATGGGTGTTTTGTGGTGAGCTGGTCCTTTGACTATTTATCTATGGCCTTTTCTTTGTTGATGTTACATTTTATTTCACCATCTCAGGTTAACTCTTTGGCCCTTTGTTCTCTGCTGGCCAGATCTGCCATCTCCCCCGAGCTTTTCCGAAGGGGGAGGGAGCTTTCATCACCGTAAGGTTGTGCGGGTTTCACTTTTTTTTTTTTTTCTTTTAAAGAAAACGTCCTGGAAGATAAAACATTTTGGCGAGGACAAGTAGTTTTGGTTCTGTTGACAACAGCAAGATACCCCCACCAACACTTTCACTTTATAAGAATCTGTATTTCACCATGGTACTGAGATAGACTGATCACTTGCTTAACAACAAACAAAAAGCAAAAAAGCAAACAAAACCAAAAACGAAACAAAACAAAAAATCACCAGGTCCACAAATGCGTGAGGCAAAGGGTTACATGAAACTCACTGTAGTTTTTCAAACAAACATGACAAATTTAAACTGTTATCTTAGCCACCAATCTATGTATGCATTTAGATTGCTAAATGCAATTGTAGTTCACTGTTAAAATAGGACAAGGTAGGGGAATCCTGGAGAGGAAGGTGAGAAACATGCCCAAGGTCTCTTATTACAAAAAAAATAAGCGATCTTTTCTTAAACATTGAATTGAGAATTTTTTATGAAAGTATTTTTTTAAACTCCAAATGAATTCCTGGATTTCAGTGCTGTTTTATTATTGTATTCATATTTATGGAATACACAGAGTCACATCAATAACAGGAAAGCCACATAGTGCAAAGTAAATAAAGTAAAATGCTCTCAGAAATAAATTAGGGGAGTGTTTGGCTAATTATTCCTTCATTAAAATATGAAAGAGTTATACAGGATTCCACCTGTCTTGCTTACTTTTGCACCTGGAAAGCCCTGACACTCAGTAGGTGCTCATCTGTTAACTGAAAGAAAAGAGTTACTAAATCTGTAAACTAGAACAGATAAAACAGCCCAAGGACAGTGCCAGGATTCAGGCTTTATAGCCACGAAGACTAAAGTGAAGATGCTTTTTATTCCTCCTAAAGGAAAAGGGAACACAGGTCTTCCTAAATTGATGGACTTGGCATTTTCATCTTTTTAAGACCTTTGAAGGCTTAAAAAGTCTTTTCTGGAACTTTTCTAACCCAAAGTTCTTATCGCATGGCTTTTCGTGTGCACGTCAGTGTTGACATGCTTCCACAGGAAAACAGAAAAGTTAGTGCTGCAGAACAGCTGTTACTGGGAGCAACCCACATGTAGCCAAGGAGAAATATCCTGAAATATCCTGAAATATCCTGAACATCAATCACTTGCACATCACTAAGAGAGTTGGCAGAGCCTCTGGAAATTAA